TTCGCAAACAATTGACAAAAGACGAACTATTTAGAATAGTCTATCGAGGACTGACCCCGGATTATAGGCGTTATCTGTCAAATTTTGACATCAATGATATTAGGGAGTTAGAGAAAGTTCTGAGGCGATATGAGAAAATCAAAGAGATTGACAAACGTTACGCGCCTCCACCATCGAAGGATAAGATGAAGTTCCCGATGGCGGCTCCTAAACAGTCAACAAGAGTGTCAAAAATCGACGCCATCTTGGAGAGCTCGACATCAGAGTCCAGTCCAGAGCCGAGTGTCAGCCAGAAGAGAAAGAGTCAAAATATTAAAGCAAAAAAGAGTAAGGTGGAAACTGAGAAGGAATTTTCACTTGAAGAATTAGCGGCTTTAATAAGTAACAATCAAAAGTTCAGCGTCTTGAGAGAGAAAGTGAATCCGGTTAAGCCACCAATGAGTGGTCCACCAGTGACAACTTATGCACCGGCAGTAGTGAGTAATGCGCCTGCAGTTCAAATAGCGACAAATTCGTCGCAAGAACAACGAAGGAGACCACCGTTTGGAAATTACGCGCAACAGAAATCAACACCGAATGATCAGCGACCATTTGATGGTGTGTGTAATACGTGTGGAGCGAAAGGGCATAAAGCGTTTCAATGTCCTACCAGAGTGTGTTTTAGTTGTCGGGGGGTGGGCCACTATGCATCAGAATGTCCTAACAGAGAAAATAGGAAACCAGAACAATGCCAGGTGTGCGGTACTAGAGGAACAATTTTCTCTCGCTGTATAACGTGTTTGCCAATTCGAGAAATGTTGGGAAACGTGATGGGGGGGGAACAGTCGAGTCTTCCCCCCCAGTCCGAGAAATAGAAGAGTGTCCGAGTATTGAAGAGGAGAACGGAGAAATTTTCTTATGCCTGCGAGACATGGTATATGGAGAGGAGAGAGTACAAGGCTCGAGCGACGATCACCGCCTAGAGAGAGAGAATGGTGGGGAGAGTAGCACGAGCCGTGAGAGGGGTAGCGAGCCTGTCGTCGTAACGTGTGAAGCGAGAGGCCTTGAGGAGAACGACGATGCGTGCGCCGGCGGCAGTGCATTGGAGAACAGTCAAGCGCTGTTGACTGCACTACCGAGCGCTACACCGGGAAATGCACCATCATATCGGACCCAGAATTTTGAGCCGGAGAGGAGAGAAGATGCAGTTGCCAATAGGGAAGAGAATGCAAATTTTAACGAGGGGGAAAATGCAATGAATGCATCACATGCGTTAGAGAGTGAGAATGTGGATGCATCAAATGAGGAGAATAGATTTTTCTTGAAAATTTTTATTGCCGATAAGCCTTATTACGCATTATTCGACCCTGGGGCAACGATATCTTTGGTTGGGCCAGAGTTGGCTGAGAGATTTAGGAATCAAATTGAGTCAATGGAATCAGAAATTTCGAGTGCGATCGGAGGCTCGACGAGAACTTTGGGGAAATTGAGATTGTGGATAACAGTGGATGGGTACGCGCAATCGTTCGAATTAAAAGCAATTCGTTCTCTTACCCAGGATCTATTATTAGGGATGGATTTCTGTCGAGAGATGAACATGGAAGTTAATTTTGGAGAAGGATTGTGGCGGATTAATGGCCAAGAGTGGCATGAATTCGCGAAGCGTACCGATCAGCGCCCAGAGAGTTGTTTGATTGGCGAGTGTGCTGGTATCTGTGAGTTAACGCAGAGCCAGCGTAGAGAAGTCCAGAGTATTGTAAATAAGTTGGTTTTGCCGCAAGGAAAAGAGCATGGCATGACCAATCTTATTCAACACACAATAAGAGTGAAAGATGAGAGGCCGATCAAACATTTACCGAGGAGAATGTCACCGATGATGCTGGAATGGTTAATCCAAGAGGTAAAGAAACTATTGGAACAAGGGATAATTGAGAAGACAAGTAGTGAGTGGAATACTGCGCCAGTGATAGTGAGGAAGGCTGATGGGACTTGGAGATTATGTTTTGACTATCGTGACGTCAATAAAATAATAATCAAGGAAGCTTATCCAATACCGAGTATTGACTCAATTTTGGATAAGCTCCGCAGAGCCAGGTTCATCTCCAAGATCGATTTGAAAATGGCGTACCACCAAGTACCCATGGAGGAATCGAGTAAAAAGTATACGGCCTTCTCCGTGCCAGGATTGGGCCAGTTCCAATTTAAAAGAATGCCCTTTGGATTAACCAATGCACCGAGGACGTTTCAATGCCTGATTGATTCCTTATTTGGTCCTGAGTGTGAGCCGGTAGTGTTTGGCTACCTGGATGATATTATCATAGTCAATGATAATTATGAAGATCATTTAAAATGGATCAGCGTCGTTTTGGGCAAGTTGTCATCAGCGGGGTTGGTAGTGAACCCAGAGAAGTGCGAGTTTGGTTGTTCTCGAGTAACGTACCTTGGGTACGTCTTGGACAGCCAGGGTTTACGCACGAGCGACGAGAAGATCGCTCCGATCATTGAGTACCCAGCACCAAAGAACCTTAAACAATTAAGGAGGTTCATTGGAATGGTAGGGTGGTATTCAAGATTTCTGGAAAACGAGAGTGAGTTAAAAATACCATTGTTGCGCCTAATGCAAAAAGGGCGGAGTTGGTTGTGGACGGAGGAACAAGAGGAAGCGTTTCAAGCGTTGAAAAAGAAATTAAGTTCAACTCCTGTACTTGCGCGACCAGATTTCTCGAAACCGTTCACAATACAATGCGATGCGAGTGATTATGCACTGGGTGCAGTACTCACACAAGATTCGGAGGACGGCGAACATCCGATCGTGTATATAAGCAAAGTCTTGTCACCAGCGGAGCGAAACTACAGCGTTACGGAGAAGGAATGTCTGGCACTGTTATGGTCAATTAAAAAATTCCGTCCGTATGTAGAAGGGTATAAGTTCACCGTCATCACCGATCATAGCGCACTCAAGTGGTTGAGAAATTTAAAAGAGCCGTCAGGAAGACTGGCGAGATGGGCACTGGAGTTACAGCAGTGGGACTTTGATATAGTTCACCGCCGTGGCATCCACCATCTTGTGCCAGATGCTCTTTCGAGAATGTATGAGGAGAGCGAAGAGTGTGCTGCATTCGATGAGATCAACGATCAATGGTATTTAAAGCGAAGAGAACTAGTTGAAAATTTTCCGGAGCGTTTCGTAGGGTGGAAAGTGGAAGAAGGGCGATTGTATAGGCAAAGGGAGGACCCTTTGTTAGATCCGATCACCGACCAGAGTGAGAGTTGGAAGCTTGTGGTGCCGGAAGAGTATCGTGAGCAAATTATTAAGATTGCCCACGCCGAGCTTTCAGCAGGCCACTTAGGAGTAGAAAAAACGTATAGGCGCGTAGCGAGTGAATATTACTGGCAAGGAGTGTGGCACGACGTACAATCGTATGTCAAAGCGTGTCCAGAGTGCCAGAGATTTAAAGTGTCACAGAGCGGACCGTGCGGTATGATGGGCCAGCGAATTGTCGAGAGTCCTTGGGTGGTCGTGGCAGCTGATTGCATGGAATTTCCGCCAAGCAAAAGTCAGTGTAAACATTTGGTCGTGTTTCAAGATCTTTTCTCGCGATGGATAGAATTAAAGCCATTAAGATCAGCGGATGGCAAATCAATTGCCAGAGCGTTTGAGGAGTTGGTTTTATTTAGGTGGGAAACACCACGTTTTCTTTTGACAGACAACGGGAAGGAATTTGATAATAAATTCCTCAAGTCAACGTTAGAAGAATATGGTGTGAGGCACTTGACTACGCCACCTTACCACCCGCAAGCGAATCCAGTCGAGAGGAGCAATAGGATTTTGAAAACAATGATTGCAACTTTTGTGGGAAACGATCACCGTGACTGGGACAAACATGTCCATGAGTTCCGGCATGCAGTCAATACGGCCGTCCAAGCGACTACCAAAGTATCACCGGCGTTCTTGAATTTTGGTCGACAACCACAATTGGTTAAGAGTTTGAGACGCGAGTTAGAGAAGCGAGTTGTAGTTGAGAGAATCGAACCGGAAGTGTGGATGGATCGATTAAAAAGGTTGGATGCATTGCGGGATTTGGTAGCCAGGTTTATCGATAAAGAGAGAGAGAAACAGAGAGTACAATATAATAAAAATAAGCGTTTTGCGAAATTTGATGTAGGCGATCTAGTGTTATGGAGAGTGAATAAGTTGTCTAATGCGCTGCACAAATTTTCCGCAAAATTGGCACCGAAATATGATGGACCTTACGAAATTATTAAAAAATTATCCGACACTGTTTATGAGTTAAAAGCGGATAATAACCGGCGAGTTCCGAAGGCGCATGTGTCCAATATTAAGCGTTATATTCCTCCTCGTTCGTAATTGTCGTGTCTGTCTGTGTCGTGTGTGATGTTACGAAATTAATAACACTTTAGAATTTGTTTTGTTTTTTTTTTTTTGTTGTCAGCATCTAGATTGAACTTGTTTGATAGAGTCGTTTGATGCCGAGTCATCGCCCACGATCACCGTCAGAGAGTAGAAGCAAGCCCAGGATTAGGAGCGTAGTGATTAAAAAATCAACTGTTGATAAGATGAGACGTTCCGGTGCTGGAAGGAGACGTGGTGGAGCTCCGCATTCACGTTACCAAGGTCTCCTTTCCGATTTTCCTGAGCAGGCTGATCCGCCGAAGCGAAGTCAGTTGGACATTCTCGTGGAGAAAGTGGAGAGGGAACGAGAAGCGGAGACGCAAGCAGTTGCAGTGGCCGGTACTTCTGGTGGTCAAGCCGCAGCGCCTGGTCCAGTATATACCGGTACCATTCCCAAGACGATTACGATTGAGCAGTGGCGGGAGAGAAGGGGAGAGAAGGAAAGGAAGAGTCGAGAGACCGTAGGGTCTGATCACCGTCAAGAGAATCGTGAGAGAGAGAGGGGGGCTCGAGAGCGAGAGAGTCGTGAGAGAGAGAGGGAGGCTCGAGAGCAAGAGAATCGTGAGAGAGAGAGGGAGGCTCGAGAGCGAGAGAGTCGTGAGAGAGAGAGGGAGGCTCGAGAGCGAGAGAGTCGGGAGAGAGAGAGGGAGGCTCGAGAGCGAGAGAATCGTGAGAGAGAAAGGGTGGCACGAGAGAAGGAGAGTATGGAGACGGAGGATATTGAAGGAGAAGTAAGTCCGAAGACCGCGTGTCGCCAGGCGAAGAGCGAATTGTTGGCCGTGTTGGAGGAAGGAAAGGGAAACGACCAGAAACAGTGGGTCAAGCGCGAAGTGGGTAGGAGAAAGGGTAGCCCATTATACGAGTGGGACTACGTTTCTACCAACGCGCCAACGAAGACATCTCCCCCGAAAGGAGCGGAGCTGTTGCCCCGTCATCCTCCACCACCAACTTACGCATCTCCCCTGGAGGGGATTTATGAGGAGAAGCCAGTGATCAACCGGCGAAGTCATCTTCCGCGCCTGTCTCCTCGGCCCCCTTTGCCGATTATTTTGGAGGGGCGTATGTTTGGGGGTTTGGATCCGATTCCGACGGTTCCACGCCTGGATCCCCCACCAGGTGTCTGCCATAATTGTTGGCGGAAGGGACATGAGGTGCCGAAATGTCCCAGCAAACTGGCGAAATTTTGCAAAAATTGTGGAAGGAGGGAGGTGATTCTTACTGATTGCCCGCGCTGTGCTAGGGTCAATCGGTTGATCATGGAGGAACGTTTCGGTAAGAAACAGTACGAGGAATTTCGCCAGCAGCGGGAGAAATACTACAAACTATTACACCGCACTTTACCCCGGGAGACAACTCGGCCGGAGTTGTTAAGCCGATCGCCGTCACCAGCGAAGGAGGGTGGGAGTAAATCTCCTAATCGATCAGCGTCCGTGAGTGGAGTAGATAGTAGTGTGGGTCCAAGTCAAGAAAAGAAGCGGAGCTTCTTGGACGAGTTGGAAAGACTAGAGAGAATGATTGTGGATTTGCCACTTGAAATTGCAAAGGAGATGAAACTGCAATTCTGGAAGGAGTTTCAAAACAAGAAGGATTGATTTCCTTTTAAAATAGAGGCATTGTCGCCTCCCCCATATTTTTTTTGTTTTTCTTTTAAATTTTTGGAACGTGGTTCCTTGATGTTTTTCTTTTTTTTTTTTGAATTTATTCTTTTTTTTTTATATATATAATTGTAAGAGATTAGTTGCAATAAATTAGAAGAGTTGCAAAGGAAATCTTATATTATTTTTATATTGTTAAATCGGCAATATTACCGAGGTAATATCGGCCTAGGAGGGGAGTTTGTAACGAAGTAAATCGTTACTGTATTTCTTTTTGCTGTTCCTAGTTAGTGAGACGTTATATTTTGTTTTATCGTCGTCTCATTCTCGTTGCATCGTTTCTCTGTCAGCGTCGTTATTTCAGAGTTCGTTGATCACCGTCGTGCGTAGTCCGTCAAGTCGTTTGAGAAATGATTTGACGCATGAGCAATTAGGAGTTGGTCACATGGTCAGCGGTCCCACTTTTCGGCGGGCTAACAGGTGCCGTCGAGTGGGGACGAGAGAGATAGCTTGATGGAAAATTAGGAGTTCTGAGAAAGAAAAAGGGTTTTCCATGAATTTTACCGGCGTTTCGAGGAAGCAGTGCAGCGTGGGTTCGTCAGAGAGTTCTCAGCGGTTTCAGAGAATAGACGTGATTTTGAGCGGTCGTGTGGCTACAGAGTTAGAGATAGAGTCGAATTGAAATAGTTCTTTAATTTAGTGTTTAGTTCTGAATTTATTAGATTAAGTTTCATTTTTAGTATTACTAGTTGTAATTTTAGTATTCTTTTATTTAAATAAATAAGTTTAAAATAAACAATTGTTTGGTGATTCCTTTTTGGATATTCAAAATTGGATTGCCAGGTTGATTGCCGAACGAGAGAAATCATCACCAAGTAGTGAGTACAAAAATTGAATAGTTGATTGAAAATTGAAGGTTGTTGCACCGCAACAGTTTTTCCCAGCGGAATCCCCTCTTTGATAGATTTCAGTAACAATTGGTAATTTGAGAGTTTAAAGTAATTTTGGGAGAAATACGGTGCAGATTAGAGCCTTAGAAGTTTTAAAGGTTTTAATTGAATTTCCCCATCACAATTGATACCAAAAACTCATTTTTCACCAAAATGTCAGTTAACTGAGTTTTTATATCACACGGCAGTATAATATTGCATTTGTATAATCTACAGTAACAACAAACAGTTTTGTTAAAAAAAACGCTTTGCAAATTCATCAAAGTTTTTGGTGGTAAATATTATTTGAAAATATTACACGATTTCCTTAGAATTTTTTTAAGAACAAGTTCGTAAAGGTGTATAATGAAACTAAAAAAAAACTTTTGCTCCTAGCGTTGCACAAACAAAAGTAAAAAAATGTCAAATTGAAAAAATAAGGTATACTACTTATGGTTGTTTCAAATTTCTAAACAAAAATTTTGACAATTTCGCCACCTGGCCGGTTTGCCCCACTGTCCCCTATTAAAACTGAAAAACTAACTTTTAAACTATGTTGAGATTTTTTAGATAACGTTTTTTAAGTAACGTAATTTATTTTTTAATCAATCTAATAAATAAGTGAATAAAAAATAAATTATTCTATAACTGATATAAATTTATATCAGTTATAGGAAGAATGGACTGAAAAAGTACTGAAATTGTACTGGCCTCCAGTACAATTTCAGTCCGTTTTTTTTAATGTTTCGGTAGACATTTTTAAACTCCTTTAACAATAGATTCAAATGTAGGTTATGTGAACAAACCATTGTTAACAGTCTGGAAGTGAAAATAAAAAAAGGTTAACAAAATTTTCAACGAAATTCCCGTTAAATTTTAAACTTATATTGCAACCCCTGCTTTAACAATAGACCCGAAAGCCTATTGTTGTATGGGATTATAATTTTATGGCTTAAAAAGTTTACAATTTAAATAATTAAATTTTCAAAACAAAAAAATTTGAATCTGTGATGTTTTATGATTACAAATATCTAAAATTCATTGTAAAAAATGTTTAATTGAAAAAGTTATAAAACTATCTCGCAAACTCTAATTGTTACGTAAAAACGGATATTATTTTTGATTTTAGATTAACATGAATATTTAGCATACATAATAATTACTTGTAAAGAATCTGAGTTCATGAAAAACAAATATAATGTTGAAATATAAATAAAAAATAATTTTAACATTAACAAAGAAATATTCGTCCTTCAACTTAATGACGGTCAGGCCATAAACATCACCGATAGCGACCCTTTTGCAGGTAATTTTTCCTAGTACAATTTCAGTGCTGAAACGCAGCAAATTTTCACTGAAATAGCACTGAGCTCTCAGTACTAATTCCCCAGTACAATTTCAGTCCATTCTTCCGGCAGGGAATTACTGACTAATTAAATTAAATTAAATTTTTTATTTGAATATGCATACACTGAGAAAACTGGAGTATTGGACTAAATATCTGGAGGGACAAATCGTTGATATTTGAGAGTTAGCTATTGGATAACAATCTAAATGTTCAAATTCACCATTGACAGATATTCGTGCTATTTCTCTTGGAGGGAAAATGAGTTTATAACAGAGGGACAAATTAACCATCTTGAGAAATCCCTTCCTTATCCGGCGCGAAATGAATAAATATGGCAACCTAACCCCTAAATTAAATACATAAAATGTCAGAAAAATAATTTCGCGCGCATCAGATCGTACACATTTTCTGCGCAACTTTTAACCCTCAGATGTAATGGGAGAGAATATACAAGTAGATTTCCATTACCAATTCAAAATTTATTTTAGAAGGACTATTTAACTCTCTTCATAAGCAAAGGAAACCTACACTTTTTGAACCTCTGAATTTGACTCTCCAGTTTTCTCAGTGTAAATTAATTTAAATAAACTAATTGACTGTAATTAAATTACTTATTTTCGATAAATTCAATAGAAAAATTAGTAATACAAATTGCTTTTACAGAAAATTTTTTCTTTTCGAAAAAGAAAAAAATGAAAAATTTTTCGAAAGCAAATATTTTCCTTAGTTTTATTGTGTAAGGTGAAAAAGTGTTAGTGATAAATAGCGTACAGTACAGCAGAATGTGCATCGTTGTATCATACTTAACTCGATGTTCGTAAGCTGTGAAATTATTGGTTCTTTGTTAAAGAAAATCGTTAATTGGCTTAAAAATTTTTTTAATTGGCTTAAAAAAATTTTTTAATTGTTTAAAAATTGTTTTTTTTTTAGAAATATTTCGAGAATCTGTCTAATCTTCAGTTACTTAAAAAAAATCACTATTGTGATAATAACAATTTTAATTCCTTAAAAGGATAGGATTTTTTGCTGTAGAAATTTTCATCTGTTTTTCCTATTTTTGCTCGCTTTGAATTAATTTATGAAAATTATTCTTTTAGAGAAAGAAAATTTTTTTTCCCTAGAAATAATTTTTCAATTTTGGAAAAATGTTCCTTCTTTCACTGTTGGCATTTTTATCAAAGAGGGGAAAATTCGAAAAATCTGTTCGAATTTTTATTTTTTAATTATTTAGAAATATTTATTGTAGTTAGTAATAGTTATATATTTTTATTATTTATTTATTTAAGTATATATTTTTTTCATGATTGAGCAATGCGGAAAAAATATGAATGATTTTAGCAATATTTTTTGTTTCTTTTTTTATTTTTTCTTCGCTTATATATACTTGTCCCCGGAGATATAATATATTATTGCACGTGATAAATAATCTTTTGAGAAAAGACATGCCACTATGAAATTGGATAAGGCTTTTAAAAGCAGGAAACGCAACATTCCATTTCACGAAAAAATTCCTTTGAGAATTGTATGATACTACTTATTTGCCGTGAACACGTTCCACACAACACATTTAAACCCCCTTATGGCCTTTTCCACTTTAGTGTACTGACATTTGAGAGTACATCTTAAATTTTTCAGATTACATACTATTCTTAATGCTTCACTTAAAAGAAGTATTTCATACATTTTCTTTTTGCTCAGTTTGTACTTTTTAAAGAAAAATTTTTTTTTTTGCAAAAAGTCCCTCAATAATTTGAAAATATATTTAAATTTCCCGATTTATTTATTTATTAATTATTTAAAATTTTTTAAATATATGAAAATAGTAAATACAATTTTCTAAAAATTACTATTTGCTTGATTAGTTATTAATTTCTTAATAATTATTTTTTACGTATTAATTACGTATTTATTAATTACGTACATATTAATTACCAAATTTTTATTTTCTTTTTTTTATTTAACAAACAAACGAGAACAAATTATTAATAAGTTGATTAAAAACATTACTAATTATTAACAGGCCTGATTATTAACTTAAACATTAATTTTGCAAGTGCAAATATAATTTTGATTCGCCCACGAATTACGAATTAGAAAAAGAAAAAGTTGAATGTGGCTTTTAATAATAATTAATTTTCAAATTGTTTAATTTACAACTCTTTCTTCCAAATAAATTTATGTCCAAAATGTCAAGAATTATGATTGACTTTTTAATTATACATAAAATAAATTTAGTTGCGCGAAAGGTATATTTCAATTTAATATTTCAGGTCAATGAATTTGTAACAAGATTTCGTGCCATTATCCGATAAAATGTGTAGTACCACATTATGTATTTTAAATAACTATATGCGTTCATAATTTTGACACACGTCAACGTTATATACAAATTTTTACAATTTATAGAATTAAATAATAATAAATACCGCAGTAGGGGAATGTAGTCAAGGTTGGTCTACTGTCTAGGTAGGCCACTCGCGTTTTTTTGTCAAGTTCACTAGCGCCACCTACGCGCATATTTGTCGAAGCTTGTCTTAGTGAAACCTAACTTTTTGTTCAATTACATTTTCGGAAAATCAAAAATTGTGTTTTCTGTGACGTCGGTACAAAAAAAGCTCAAAAAAAGTTTTGTGCATAATGTGAAAAACCATTAATAAAAGATAAAAAACAAATTGAATCGTCAAGGCAAGTATGCAGAAAATTTGTGGGACTCATGGTTGAAAGGAAAACAAAGTAAAAAATCGAATCCCGTAACGTATTTCTTTATGGTTACAACAATTCGGTAATGTTACTTACTGTCAAGGTCGGCCACTATGTGTTTAAAATGCGCAAAGTTGAGGACGAGCTACTTCATTTGCAAAAACTGCAATTCTGTATAACTCATAATATAATTGATCATCTTATTAATATTTTTATTTAATTTTATTAATATTTTAGTGCAAAATTTTTTTTTATTTATATTTATTTTTTTATATTGTTTATTTTTATTATTTTGTTATTTCATTAAGTTACAAACTGTAAACAATAAAGAATCAATTTTCCGTAACTCCAAACATGTTATTTTATTTTTTAACGATTAATGCCCTTTGAATTTTAAACATGGCCGACCTTGACTGTAATGGCCAACCTGGACTACAAATTTTTTTTTTTTAAATCTTTATAACTTTTTCATTTTTAAACCTGTCAATTTACTTTGTACAGAAAAAATGTTCCTATTAAACAGGACTTTCCAACCATATACTTCAATTGTCCAAATTCATTTTTAAAAAAAAGTTATAAACAAAAGTCAAAAAGGTGGCCGACCTAGACTATGTTCCCCTACTTAATTAAGTGTATAGTCCCAGCAAAAAATATATTAATTTTTTTTGGGGGGGGAAAGGAAAAACAAATTGAATTTGATAAGTTCATACAAAGATGCAGTCAGAATTTAATATCACGATTTTCTATGTAAGAATCTATATATTTTGATATACAGTCTCTCCCTCTCTCTTTTTTTCTCAAAATGAACGAATCATTGTTATCGCGTCGCGATCTATACAACAAATTATATAATGGAAAATCTGGAGTGTGAATGAAATCCTGTAACAGGTTTGAGCTAAATGGAACGTAAGTTGATAATAATAAACGAATGTCAGATAATTATCTCCTCCAGAAAGTCACGAAAGAGGTCAAAGATGATAGAGGGGAAAGGGGGACAGAGGTGGGGATAAAAAAATCAAAAAGAAACATTATAATAATATAATGAACATGCGTGTAAAGGTACACTCTCACCTCACTGCCTGCCTGCCTGCGCAGGCAGGCGCCATAAGAGTGAGAGAGAAAAAACATTTAATTTGAATTTTCTTACTCTCTTACTCCTATGTGTTACCATGTCAACCTGCAGGCAGGCAGGCAGGCAGGCAGTAGGAGCTGTGCTAGCGCCTTAAAGCTTTGTGCATCCATGAATGGTGTTTTGAAAATTATTTACAAACTGTTGATTAAATTTATTATTTTATGATTTAATTTATAATATGTTAAATTTAGTCATTATTATATAAAAAATTTATTTTTATTACATTTTTTTATACTAATTTTAATAAAATGTATTTTTTTGTTACAGAGGAGTTAAAGGTGTTTTCTGTCCAGTTTCTTCCGTAAGTAGGTAAATAAATATTGAAATATATATAAGGTATATTATAAGGTACAAATATATAATTATCAAAAGAGTAATTAAAAAATTCTGTTTCGTTTATTTAACGAAAATTTAATTTTCTGGAATTGATAGTTATAATGAATTTGAAAGAAAATATGGGAGAAAGTATGTATATTCGTTTTACAAGAATTTCTTTCCAAATATTTATAAGCGAATATTTACGAGAGATATAGTCAAGTTTAAATTGTCATTTTTTTTTTTTTGGTAATTCGTAATTTTAGTACAATAATTTTTTACTTAATTAGAAAATTCTCTTTTTTTAAAGTGAATCCCCTTTTTTTCTCATATATAAACAAGTTTAATAATAAAAATTAATTTTAATTATAATAATAATTAAAATAATTTGTAAATTATGAAGAAAATAATTATAAATTATTATGATTTTTAAACAAAAAATATTGTTTAATAACGAATTAGAGAGTATTATTATTTTTTTTTCATAAAGTGAAATTTTGTGCGACAGCTAAAAAGATGAGCATTCATAAATTAATCTAAATAAAGTAAAAAAACAGAATAAAAAATAAAATTTAGATATCATGCGGGTGGAGGAACACTTAATACTAAATGAATGATAGGGAGGCAATTAAAATGAGATTTTGATGAATAAAGATATATAAATTACAGCGGTGATAGTCTCTCACTCTCGGTGCAGTGCTGTTCTCCCGCTGTGAACAAAGTGTTTAAACCACGTACCATTGTGGACGTGTACAATAGACGAAATTATTGTTATTAAAAATAAAATTAATTCATTTTGTTTCTTTTTTTCTCTTTACTTTTGAATAAATGGATTTTAATTTTTTTGAAACTGTGCTTAAAAACTAAATCTGTTTCTTTAATTTACACTAATATAAATTAACATTAATTTAAATATGTAAATATTAATTACATAAATTATAATAATTAATAGTAATAAATAGATATTATAATTTATAATAAATGAATATTATAATTAATGTTAATTATAATTAATATTTGTATATAAATATTAATATTTAATACTAATTCTTAATTACCTAATATTAATTTATCAATAATTATTATATTAATTTAAAATATTAATATAATATTTTTGTAATTAATAATAGAAAACTAATATTTTTAGTTAATAAATATTAAAATTAAATATCAATATTCTCAAAATTTGCATTAAATATTAATATTTTTCGATAAAAAAATTTATCTACTGGAAATAAATTGTTTTTCCTAATTTATTCAAAAATTACAATAATTTCTTCTATTGTTGTTTTCTTTCAAGAAACATATTTATAATTTGATGTACAGTGTGAAAGCACAAGTGAAATTTTATATACAACCCTGAGGGTGTTATTTCACAACTGTAAACTGCAAAATTTACAAAAAAATAAAACTTTGGTAATCCTTTTTTCGAGTGAAAAATATAAATTCTCTTTCTTGTCCCCGAGTTGAGATTTCACCTTTTGAGACTTTGCAGTTGTGAAATTACTTTTTATGACTTTAACCTTTTTTTTGTTTTGCTAACCAATTTTTCTTCAAATTTTATTCTACTCTGTCTCTTAAATTTATCACACGTGTCTAGTTAGTTTATTAATTAAAGTAATATTGTTAGTGATAATTATTCAAAAAAATTTTATTAGACTTTGTATGAAAAAAAATTGTTTTCGTTTTGGTAAAAATTCCTGAATTTTACTTAAAATATTGTCTAGCAATTAGAATTGTATAAATTTTTCCACGATTAATTTCAAACCGTTAGGGGAAAAAAAAACTTTACCTGGAGCAGCGATAAGTTTCTCCAGAATAGCGAAAATCTTAACTGAAACAACTAAAAATTTCGCTAATATAGTGAAATTTGTAACTGTTCCAGAAGAAGCTTTTTCTACGTGATAGAAATTCATTTTTGTAATCGATTAATTTTTTAATTAAATAAAATTTAATTTATTATTTAATTAAGTAAAATTATTTGATTAATAATGGAATTATTTAATTGAATAAGATTATTTATTATATTTAATTAAGTAAAATTATTTAGTTAATTTTCTAATTAAGATTATTTCATTAGTTATTTCATTAAGTAAAATATTATTTAATTAATTAATTAAATAAATTAAATTTAAACAATCTTAATGAAATAAACTTAATTAATTAATTGACATTAGGAATTTTTCCCCAAATTAAACGAACGAATTATTTTCGAAATTTTTTTGGTTTAAATTAATTGCATTAGGATTATTATTGAAAAGCAAGAGAAAAATTCTTATTTCTTCTTTCTATTTTGTATTTTTCCTATGTATATAGTGGAAGGAAGATTATTTTGAAGTTAAAGACTCACCTTTATGAGGAAGGATATAGTGATGAATATGGAAAATATAAACATGCCACCGAGACCGTATAGATGTAAAGTACGCCTTCCGGTTCTGTCCATGAGGAAAATGGAAACGATTGTCATTACAACCATAATTGATCCTATACCGATGTTCGCAAACTTGGCACTCTCTTCCGTTAAGCCCGAGCTTATAAACAAACTCGTTGAATAGTAAAATACCTTGAAGAGAGAAAATAACAATGCATATTCAGTATTTACAAAAAGGGCACTCGCTCTCTAGTAGTATAGCTAGGCCGGTTCTGGGGCAGGTTCTGTTTATCGACCGAGTTAGTTTGAAGTTAAACCGCTAGATGGCGCCACCAGCAAATTCAAATCCGTTTGGCGGGTAATTTAAAATTTTATTTTCATAGTTTTAAGTGGGTTAAAAGGGGCGCTCTGTTTTACCGACAGGGTTCAACGATCAACCGATAGATGGCGCCACTAGCAAATTCCAAACCCCTTGGCGGGAAATTTAAAATTTTATTTTTAAACTTTCAAGTGGGTTAGAAGGGGTGCTCTGTTTTACCGACTGGGTTCAAGGTCAAAATAATAGATGGCGCCACTTTAATTTTTAAATTTCGCGGGCGTTGCTATCCACCATTTTGTTTTACCGACAGGGTTCAAGGTCAACCTAATAGATGGCGCCACAAAAATTAGTGAAAAGATTTATAATTGATATATAATTTATAAGACTTTTTGAATTTCGCGGGCATTGCTCCCTACTATATTTTTCTACATAGTTTAAGGTCAACCTTATAGATGGGTCCACTAAAATTTAATTTTACAAGCGTTGCAAACTACTATCTTGATTTTTAAATTTCCCGGACCTTGCTTATAATTAAAATAAGTTTAGAGTTTTACAATTAAAACTGATGTAATGTTTACTAATGCAATTAAAATTGATTGAATAAACAATAAGCTGTTTGAATTCAAATTGAATTACACCAGATCGGTAATGAAGATTTTTACTTTATCAGCAGTCGTCAAGGTAGGGATCTGACAAAACATTTTGACTCGATCTATAATGTAGGAATCTGTTTTACCAATAAATAAATGGTGCGTGTTCTTGAGTGTGAAATATAATAATAGTAAGTAAATAAAAATTATATAAATATTTTATACCATTTTAACATCACTTTAGCATGTTTATGTTAAATAAATTATTCTTCTAATTTCTATTTTTCTAGAACCTTTTTTCCGAACTTTGCAATAATATTTTTCTCTTGAATTTCTAGTTTACTAATATTATTTTTTCATAACATTACTAAACATAACCTTAAAATCTATTGTATTAAACATAACCTTAAAATCTATTTTATTAAACATAACCTTAAAATGTATACCTTATTATCTAACGTAATACTAATGAGAGTATTTAATTAAATACAGTATTAATAACATTTCATACATTTATTACATTCAATATACAATATTTACACTTGTTTTATTTTAAATTCAATATGGTTGTATGGACCACCAATATACTTCAGCCGTAATTGTCCAGAACTAATAGCTTCTTGCATCTGATCCAAGCATATATAGTCATCAGTAAACATTGGTACAAATCTTGAAGGTAGGAATGTATTGAACTTTTTATCCACCTCAACGACGACCTTGACTCCATACCTGGTGTTGACAACCTGGATCTTTGCTATAAGATACTTATGTCCAGGAGTCAGCTCGGAAAGCGGCTTCGTAGGTAGGAAAGCATCCATGCGACCAATGGCGTTGATTTTGGTTAGTTCCATCTTTTCTTAGAGATAATACTTTGTGAAGTCACAAAACAGAGAGACTAAATCGGTTGAGATCCCTCAATTTATACCCAAATATGACGCAATACCCCCCACTACTTTTTCTACGCATGCGCAATACCCCCACCACTGCTTCTACGCATGCGCATTACCCCCACTTTTATTTATTAAGCCACGCCTACTTTGTGACGTCATAAGACAAGTCTAAACTAGTTTTAACATGTTTAATAGTTTCACGCATATGTAATAAAAATAATAGGATGTGGAAGGGTTAATTAATGTAAACATTCGTAATACATTTAATACATTTATTCATTAAATATGAAATTTTCACAATCATTATAAAAACCTTCAAATGTACAATCATTGTCAACTTCATCAGTATTTTCTATATTATTTCGTAGTACATTTGACGGTTGTATCAACCAATTTCGTAGATTACATACATTTTAAACAGCACAATTGCTAAAGCTACGTGTGTGATTTGTGCATGTAGATGAACTATCTGCACTTAAACTTTTTAGCGACGGACATTTAAAATCATCAAAGTTAAACACATTTAATGTATATTTTTCCAACCATTTTTGTTTTTCTAAACCTTTTACATAAACAGTAGGTGTACCTATTAACACTTCTTTTATTATAGGTTGTAATTCTTCATAAGGAATGTCACCAGCAGCCCAATCGATACCATGATAATTATTTGTAAGCCATCGATTCTCACATTTGTATCTTGCAGGTAATCGGCTCCAGGCATATGGCGGCTCGAAGAGGTAGACCAATGGATGAGCATCTTGTTGAAGTGGTAGAATCGACAACTCTTTGATGACAAACTCGTTGTAAGGTTTTTTGAAGCACTGAATATCTATGACGTACGCCATGGTATCTGAAATAGAATAATGTCTCAAGCCTTAGAGAGACGTTCTCTTTATAGCCTCCCCCCATCACTCCAATTACCCCCACTACTGATGTCATCTATGATTGGTCATTATTTCTACCAACCACGATACTTTTTTAACAACACCGCTGATTGGTGTATACTGTATAATGCGGTCGTGAATTATAAGGCAATATGCAGCTGTATTGGCTGGAAAATTTTCATTTGCTTCAAATTCCAATCACACATCTACAGATGCTTGTTTTAGAAATTCGTTTTGTTTTGAGCAATCAATAACAGCCAATGGTGCATAATCTTTAAAGTTATTTCTAGTTAATAAAGGTTCAGATTCTTTTCCATAGTAGGATGGTTGAAAATTACAATACATATCATATAGTATGGAAAATTTGTTTTGAGTAAAATTTAAATTTAAATTTCCATAAGGATAGTACTGTGAGTTTAAGAAAAGTTTAACATTGTGAAGATTACAGGCATCAAATAAATTTGCATACCTTCCTTGATCTTCTTTTCGATTCGTTTGAAAACCAAGAATAACATATCGAGGTTTTTCAACTTGTGTTAAAGTTTTTACAGTCTACACATGCTTTTGAGTGAATCATTGAATGTGAGTGAATCATTTGAATCATCTTTTGAGAATCATAGGATCAGGGTGTCCAGCGATTCTTTAAAAAAAAATTCAAGGACTTTTCAAGGTTTTTAAGGCCCAAAATAATTTTTTTCAAGGTCCATTTTTAGGGTACTAATTTTCAAAATATTTGTTATTTATAATCGAATTTAAATTAGTAAAAATGATTGCTAATTTGATTTAGTGACTGACTTTTTGCTTTTGAATTAGAAAATTTTACTAGTTAATAGTAATTTCCACTAATTTATCAGTAAAAATAAACTAATTCAAAAGCAAAAAATCAGTAACTAATGCAAATTAGTAAATATTTTTACTAATTAAAATTTAGAGAGTCTTTATAAAGAATTTTATAATTTCTACCTACAACAGTTACTCATAAATAAAATTAAATAAATATATATAAATAAAAAATAAATAAATACATTTTATTGATAAAATATTAGAAATATAAAGAACATCGATTTAAGAAACATCAATCAAAATTATTTTTAAATAATTGAATTCTTTTGGAAATTTCTATTAAAAATAATAGATATACAAATTATTGAATTAACAAAAATTTTTTAAAATAATTGAAATTTTGCAATGAAGTTTATTAAAATGTTTGAAAATAATTGAATTTTATTACTTTTGAAAATAATTGAATTACTGCGAAGAATTTAATGCCAAATTTTAAAACACATTTTATTAAATGAATATTTTGAAATTTTTTGACAATAATTGAAAATTACTGCAAAGAATTTAATGCCAAATTTTGAAACAATTGATTTTTGCGAAAAAAAATTATGCAAATTCTATTTTAAATAATTAAATTAATGTAACCAATTTTTTTTTAAATAATTGAAAGTTTGTGTAGAGTTTTTTTAAAACTTTTGTTTAATAATTAAATTCTTTCGTGAAATTTTATTAAAATAATAGAATATTGAAAACCATCGAAGCAAACAAAATTTTTTTAAATAATTTGAAATTTTGCCACGATTTTTATTAAAATTTTTAAAAATATTTGATTTCTTGTGATGAATACTATTATTTATATTAAAATAATTGAATTTTGCAATAAATTTTATTAAAACTCCACAAAATAATTTAACTTTGTCGAAGAATATTATTATTTATTTATAAAGATAATTGGAATTTTGACCACAATGTTCTTTTTGATTTTTTGAAAATAATTGAATTTCTGAGAAGAAATTAATTAATTTTTAAAATAATAGAATTCTTGTGATGAATATTGTTATTTATGAAAATAATTGTATTTTGTAATGAATTTTATTAAAGTTCCTGAATATAATTGAATTTCAGCGAAGAATTTTTATATTTATGAAGATAATTGAAATATTGACGAGAATTCAACGTAAAACATCAAGGAAATAAATCTCACTTTTAAGAATTTTAATTTTTCAAGGTTTTGTCATAAAATTCAAGTACTTTTCAAGGTTTTCAAGAAGCTAAAAAAATTCAAGTACTTTTCAAGGTTTTTAAGGTTTTCAAGGTAGCTGGACACCCTGTAGGATACTCATATAAATCCCATGATCTAAAACTCATTGTTATAAGTGAGTCTTTTTCAATGAATTTCAATAATTCAATTTTTTGGCGATCATTTACCATTAAATATGGAATCAACCATTCAACTTTATTAATTAAAATTTTAAATTCTTCACGCTCAGCTGCTCCAATGTTTACTACAGCATTGAGATCAGTACGAGATCTTGTTAAAATAAGTTCATGTTTTGCATTTACAACAATCTTTCGATAGTCTTCAGCAAAACCAATAATCATACTTAGTGGAATATTTACATCAAAATATCCAGCATCATTTGTTACTCTACTATCATTATCATAAGGTGGATAACCAGCATTTTCAGAGTAAATCATTTGATTAGGTGTTTGAGAAATTAGATTTTTC